TTAAATAAATTGTTGCTAACTTTTAATGTTAATTGAAATTTATTTTGTTTTCAGCGTAATAAGATTTTTGAGAGAGTTTTCATTAATTTTTTTATATTTTTTTTATTCATTTATTAAAAGAGCAACTGTTTCGTATACAAACAATAAAGACAAGCGGGCGGGGGTTGGGGGTTGGGGGATGATAATATTTACTTTCTTCGAGAATTTCAAGTTAGTTTTTTATTTTTATTAAAATACATACAACACAGCAGAAGTAGTAGTAGTATAAGTAGCAGTAGTAGTAGTAGTAGTAGGAGCAGTAGTAGTAGTAGTAGTAGTAGTAGTAGTAGTAGTAATAGTAGCAGTAGTAATAGTAATAATAATACTAATAGTGGTGACAATGGGGAGATTGTGTGAAAAGCGCTGCATTATATCGATGTGCAATAAAGCTAAATATGATTGTAAGCAAAATCAAATAAATCTTTAATCAATATTTAAAATTCAATGAGAAATCCAATTTTTAAATAAGAAGAAAGTAAACCTCGTTATCTAAAAATTCAAAGGGCATCCATCATATATAATGAATGACTTTTTTAAAAATGTTGTGCTGGTTGGCCCACAAGTAACAAGTAATAATTTGACATATCTCTTATATGCTGTTATAATTATTAGAAAATATTATAATATTGTGCACAAAAGATACAAAATTTAAAGCGATTGCTTGAAAACTTATTACACTATCTATGCCCTTAAGTTAAAAGGCAATGTTGGATAAATGAAAACGACAAGTATGAAACTTTAAAGATGATACTGACGTTTTCCCAGCCCGGTATATGCGTGGGTATATGCAGAAAAATTTCAGTCAGTAAATTGATATTTTCGTATATCAAAAAAAAAAAAAAACAACAACAACAAAAAGAACTAAAAGATTCAATGGGCTAAGCTTAGGAATAAACAAAGTTATATCCTTTCTCTTGTGCCCAAACCACTTTTCGTTTAAGTCAATCTAGCGTTTATATCATTATAAATTGACAAATTCGGGATCAGCTGATTTTCCTCATTATCGATTGCATATAAAATTGTCCACTATGAAGAGGTTCTTAAATGAACTAAATAAAGTGCACATTTTTCCAAATGCACGAACATTCTTCGTTACATTTGGAAAATTTGGAATTTACAAGCGAATCGGTGAACGTGATTTATATTCGTACAAAATGCTTGTGATAATTTATGCTCAACACTTGTATGCAGTGCAGTGGTGAGAATGAATTAAAGATCTTTGATCGTTATTGTATGAATCGTCAGGCTCGACACATATGTTTATAAAAACAATGATAACTGAAAAGCGTTACTTTCACAACATGTGATGTGTGTTTGTGTGCACATCCGTATACTCTAATTTTATGCAGCAGGTAAGCAACATTGCTAGTATGTTTGTGCAAAGGCAATACAAAAAAAAAAAAAAAAAAAAAACTTACATTGTAAGTTATGGTTTGATTATAATGTTGCTCAAGTATGTTGCTTGAGCATATGGGTACAACATCAACTTCACTTGACCTATAAAGCTTATATACGTTCTTCACTTTTCCATATACGTATTGAGAAATTTAATTAAAGATGAATATTGCGTCGGTTAAGCCCTTTGTAATTTCAGATAACAATAAATGAAACATTGCAACATATGTGAAAATAAAGCAAAATAACAAAATTTTATGCATATAAATATTGCAATGTTTCATACATATGTATGTATATATATAAACGTTTATATATATAATGAAATATTCGCTCTTACAGAATATGCATTAAAGAAAACAAAAATTCGTCATATCAGAGGTAGATGATATGCGATTCATTGTCTCTCCTGTATATATATATGTATATATATATATATGTATACATATATATATATATATATATATGCGTTATATAAACGGCGAAGTAACAGTACGTACGCTTTTTTTTTTTTTGTTTCTGTAGAACGATTATTATATAATATTATATGTTATTATTATGTATATATATTTTCTATTTCAAATAAACATCAAAGAAAATTTTATATTATACTCCTAAAGTTTTTTTTTTTTTTTTTTGCTTTTTTTTATTTTTTGGAATTACAAAAAAAAGTCATAAGAAGCATAGAAAGCAGTGCAAATAAAGGTTACCTGGTGATCTGGCTTTAAATAACACTCACAGCGTGGCAAAGCGATTTAAGGATTGATGATTTGTTTATATTTTTGTTATGTTAAGGTGGGATTTCTCTTATATTTTTCTCTTATTTACGTTTGTCACATTTAAAGAAGAACACATTTTTATTAAATTTATGTTCAGAATCATAATAAATAATTAATAAATATTATTATTATTATTATTGTTATTGTTATTGCTTTTTATTATTATCATTGGCCATTATTATCATTATCAGTACTATTATTGTAATTATTGTTATTATTGTAATTATTGTTATTATTATAATTATTGTTATTATTATTATTATTATTATTATTATTATTACTATAGTTATTGCTTTTGGCATTTTTATTCCTAATCTCATCATTATTTATTTACATATGGATTGAACATAAAGATTTAAATGTAGCGAGATTCAGTTTATCATAATATAAGGTATTCCAACACTTTAGAAAGGTATTTGAATAGAGATAAGAAGTATATTAAAAACTGAAAAATTTATTTAAGAAGCCGGAATTGAGTGATAGATAAAAAAGTAATTCATTGTGTGCGTGTACGTGTATATGTATATGCATGTATTCATGTATGTAAGTATGTATGTACGTACGTACGTACGTACGTACGTATATATTTGTGTGGGTAGGTTGTTTGTGTGTGTGCGTGTGTTTTTGATTGAGGAGTGAATGTGTGCGTGTGCGTGTGCATGTGTGTATGTGTATGTGTAAGTGTATATGAAATTATAATTAATGTTGTGTGCGTATGCGTGACGTATATTAAAATTAATAAGAAACGAAGTTTAATGAAAAGAATCAGAATTTGGAAAAGCTTTGTTTTTGTGATATGTTTGTGGGATGAGGCTCTCGTATACTGTACCTTTGACCTGTAAAACGGCCGTATATTTAATTTCGGCAGCAGGATTTTTTGCCACACAGGTGTATTCGCCAGAGTGTGAGGCTGACAGTGAAGGTATGCTTAACAATGACGAATATTGATCTAACATTGTAACATTCGCACCCAAGAGATCGGGCAAAGGTTCTCCGTCTTTTAGCCAAAGTAATTTAAGTGGCGGATCACCACGCGACACACCACAAACTGTACGTGTACGCATACCTTCGGCTAGACCATCTTGAAAGGCGAATGGTTCTATTATGGGTGGGACTGTAACAATATAAAATACAAAAAGAAGACAAAATACTCATTGACCACATCATGTTGCAAAATTATTATCAATTGTTTGTATCAATTGTTGGTTGTGTAACGGCTGAACGCTTTTTCTTTATTTGTTTTCTTTTTTCTTTTTTTTTTGGTTTTTTTTTCGATTTGCCTCTTTCTCCATAGTATTCTCGTTTTTAATCCGCTTGATCCTATAAAACACATCGTAGCTTGATAAACACTGTAAATAATTGTAAAATAACTGTTTGCAGCGCTTTTAAAATCAAAAAAAAAAAAAAAAAAAAAAAAACAAAAAACATAGTTGGTTTTTTGTACACTTTTTTCTCTTTTTCCCTAATTAAAAAAAATTAAAAAAAAAAATAAATAAATTATAAATCTTCGCAGTTTTTCTTCAGATTTATAACAGAAAGAAAGAAAAAAAAAAAAAAAAAGAAAAAGAAATGTAATATAATTTGGTGTATATACATATTTCATAAAATGAGAGAGAAAAAAACTAATTTGGAAAGCTCTGTACAAAAAAAGTGGAAAAGTGCATAACAATGAAAAAAGGTTATATTCTACATTGTTTTTTTGTTTTTTTTTTTTGTTTGGTTTTTTTCATTTTTCGTAAACATTACATTAAAATATATGAAAACTGCTTACAAAATTTGTTAAGACTAAATTTACAGACATGAAAACTTTTAAATATATATGTACTTCAATTTTTTTTTTTTTTGTTTGATTTTAAAATAGAAAAGTGGGAATCAATGCGTTTTAAATATATAATCATGTTCAGAATCGGAATTGATTTTTTTTTTTTTTTCAAACTAAAAACATTAAAATGCATTCATTCATCTACTTAAAAAAATTCAAATATTTTTTGTAGTATATTAATACATACATATAAGTATATATATATATATATATATATAAGTAAATATATATATATCTATATATATATATATATATATAAGAAAACAAAACATAACTTGAATGAATCTACACTTAGAGTTTTATGTACAAAATTCAAAAAGGTTGAACAATCAAACATTGAAAACGAAACAAGAGTTCTTTAGGTTGTACTGAAATGGATATTTTCTCTGCATAATATTTGATATCTTCATATATGTATAATGTAATTTTTTAGAAAAAGTATCAAAAAAAAAAAAACACTTTTTTTCTTTGTTTTTTTCATTATCAAAAACGTTTAGGTTATTATACATATGTATGAAGCTTCACAATATAGGTAATGGAATAAATATTAATAAAGTACACAGCTCAGAAGTAAATTCGATCAATTTGCTTACTTTGATTGTAAAGGATCTATTCTTTAAACACTTATAGCTGTATTTATGTAATATATGTATGCCAAGCTATGCTTATCAGGTCTATAAACACAAAAATGAAAAAAAACATATCGCTTTCATCGTTTATCGTTTTATCGATTTACTTCAAACTTTTCATAAATAATATTCTCTCAGTACTTTTGTTTCACTTTCATGTAAGTTTAAAAAAAGAAAACGAAAAATAAGAGAAAGGAAAAAAAAAAAAACAAGAAAAAAACCAAATACAAGTACTAAAATTAAAATTGAACTTCAACGAAAGAATTTATTTATTATTATTATTATTATTATTATTATTTTTTTTTTTTAAACAAAATTGAAGGCTGCATTGTTTACCGTTCACCAACAACGATTGTGAATTTTCCACTTCGGCTGCTGAATTTCGAACTACACAAGAATAATTGCCTGTGTGATCGGAGCCTAAATTCTCAATAACCAGTATACTATTATACTGATCGACTTGTTTCACCGACATGTGCTGCGTCGTATCTATCGGTCGATCATCTTTGCGCCAATTAATCGTTAATGGTAGATCACCCTTTACCACCGAACATGTTAACGAGGCGCGATCACCCATATTTAGTTGCAATTGCGACGATTGGAAGGGACTCAATTTTGGCGGAACTGTGAATTAATTATATTTATTTTTAAATTAATTTTTTTTTTTTTAAATCAAAAAAACAATAAATAAATGAATTATATAAAAAAGAAGTAGAAATAACACGCGCACTTTGCACACACGCGCACAACAGAAAACATAATGAAATGTGATTGTTTGCAATATTGTAGATCTGTATATAATATATATTCAGTGAAGACTTCGCTAAAATATTTTAAAGGAATTAGTTTTTACTTTATATAATAAAACTCAGATCAGTGGTATGTTGATTAGCGATCTTATTTTTTACGTATACTAACCGATTACAGTTACTTCTCCGCTACGTCGAGCACTGTGGCCTTGTTTGTTACGTGCCCAGCAAGTATAAACACCTGAATCGGTATTTTTCTGCACCGGACTAATAGACAACGACCCGTCCGGCTGAACACGTTGGCGTATATCATCGGGCAGTTCACGTCCTCCGCGTTCCCAATGTATCTCTTCAATAGGATAACCGGCCACCGGACATTTTAAATTTAAGGTTTCCCCCGAAACTGCAGTAACTTTAGGAATCAAGCGTATATAAGGGAGACCTAGAATAAGAGCAATTTCCATTGTGCAATAAATATTGTACTTATATCTTATCGCTTATATATATATCGTTTCGTATGGGCATCAATCAAGTCGAGGTTTCTTAAGATCGTATGAAAACGTACAATCGCAAACGGCATATTACTCTACAGTATTATGCGGCAACAAATGAGAGAACGATGCTTTTCGGCTGAGTGTTATTGCGTTCCCCATCCCGTCTAACAAGTACGTTGTTGATGTCACACGTTTAAGTTTGTAGTGTAATTGAGAAGAACGGTTGGCTAATGCTCGAGCTTAGTAGTAAACGGGCTGTCTCACGAGCACGAGCGTCAATCTGCTGCATGACCGCTCAGCAGCATAGATAAACCCAGGACTTCAACTATACTGATGGAATTATATAACGGCGTCGCAGTTGTGGCCTGCATGCACATAAGTAATTCACATACAAATACAATTGCAAAAATGGGAGGTAATAGCCGCATGAAGCAAAGTGGAAATCCAGATCTACGCCAACAGCATGAGCGAAGAGAACCTTCTCAAAATGAGTAGCAAAATAGCAGCCGCACAGGCAGTGGCCAACACTTGACAAGGCACCATTGACCATTTAAAGGCAATGTACGGGCGTCGTCGGATAAAGAAGCGAAGCCTAAGGTTTAGTCAAAAGTACCTTAGCTAAACTTGCAAACCTTGCCGTGGCTAAAATAACGCCAAGCCAAAAGGAAGTAGGGTGAAAAATTTCATCAAAGCCTAACGATGCAGAAGTGAGAAGGGAACAAAGGACTTTCGAAGATCACTAGATGGAATTCTACGAGAAGCAGCTTCCCATTTATCACCTTTAATGAAAGCAGAACTGCCAACTTCGAAGAGCAAGCAAGACAACTAACCTTACAAGAAGTCGCTGATGACTGGACATTGGATACGTAGCAAACCCAATGCGTGAATAATCAAAGTTTCCTATAGATATAGTAAGGAGAGCGCGAGCTTGCACGAAAAATTCTCTGTGCGTCTTGTAAGGAGTTGAGTAACATCGACAGCATGATGCGAATCAAGCGTAAAGACTGAGAATGAGCAAACTTCTTAGCGCGGCATGTGACGCGGCAATGCCAAAAAGGAGGACCTGGAGAAGAGGATATTCGTGCTACTGGCGTGAATAGTGACAGAGATTCATCGAAAAAACAATGGCTAAAGTTGACAAGGAAACTGTGGCAATGTAATGGGAAAAAAGCTTTGAGAATTTTTGAACATGTATAAAAACTTTTGCAGCAAGGTGATTGGGGGAAGGGAGGAAGGTAGTGAAGAGTTACAAGATAGAGCTTCGTTTATCGAAATTCTTTGATCCGAAGTTGATCTATGCTATGGTCCGGACTAATTACTAGCGCAAAATTATTGCCAGCTGGCAATAGATTTGAAGATAGAAATTTTCCCGACCCGGCCAGAAATATGGTGTAAGAGGCAGCGATACATTCGCTGGAATTTTCGAAATTTTCGACCGGTACACCGTTGTAGCCTAGTTGCGGTACTGAAGATGGAAAGCGAATTTGTTTGGAGAGTCCCAAATGTGCAAATTATATGAAAGGCGTACTGTTCACATTGATCGCAAGTCTGAATCGCTTTGGTGGCTCCTCAATTCTTGCAGAATTGAAAGGGCGTCGACTGTTGGAAGTTGTTAAAGGAAACCGTTAATACCGTTCAAGGCAAATTCTTTTGCTTTGAAATGCCCCAGCACCTACGACAAGGCCGGTTTACGACACGTCGCAACTGAAAAATGTGCTCAATAGATTTTGACTTTTTTCAATTACGATTTATTTATATCAGGGCGTTAAGTATTTGCTGTGTAATCCTTTTATTCGTACGAGCGTATAAAAAATCACTCGATGAATTTTTGCCGCAAAAGGGTAAGACTTTTACGGATGCGTCACAAATTACCTGGAACACGAGAAAAATGCGTAACAAGCGGTGGAGCGCTTTTTGAGTAAACCACTTTTTATCATTCTCCCGAATATACTTGAAAAAAATTACTATTTCAACCTACGTGTATATTCTGACGAAAATCTTTAGTTTAAGTTTTCATGAAAACTAATTGATTTTCTAAGAAATCAAATTCCACAGAGAGGGAAAGCCAAATGAATATTCATAGCGTTTTACTTGATACAAGCAAGTGGCGAGTCGCGAACACCAATTAGCAACCAATTAATGGGGAAAAGGGATTAATAAAAAAATGTCGCCTTGAACTTAGATAACGGTAACTTGCTTGTAAAAGGCTGTATAAGCAGAATGTTTGCCGAAGGGAACGTCAATCGGGAAATCAGTCGAAGTAGTCGAAAAATGCAATCGAAAAGTGAGTTGAAAGTCAGTTAAGAGAATCGAGTCAAGCGACTACAATTGCCGCATGTGAATGGACAAGATCAGAACGAGAGTTAAAGCTTTATAAATATAAATTCCTGTAAATAATTTGTAAAGAGATTTAGTAACTAAATCCTGTACTATCCCAAAAATCGAAATTCAGCGGTACCAACGGAGTTGAATAAAAGACGATTTACCTTACTGTTACGTCATTCAAGGACATAGAAAAATAACAACATGTAATAAATTGTGTCCGTCTTGCGAGAATCTTTCGTTTCCGACATTTCAAAGCAAAACATGGAGATTTTTTAATGTATGCCTAGCCCCGAGACGGACGGAAATCTTTTGCTTTCATTTTTTTTAGAAAGATTAAGATCTGTTCTTATGAACGTCTAGTTTTTATCGCTCTTTAATATAAGTATTTTGTCTATTTGCGGGCAAATTCACAGGCAATGACCATTGAAGTCCTTGCTTGAATATCTGCTTGCAATGGCTTTTGGGAATGATAAGCTAGAACTTTCTTACTATTGCCGTCATAAATGTGTGATAGATCACATTCACATCAAAATTTGCTCTATTGCTATTAACTAAGTGTATATGTGGGACGGTTCGTAATTCTATCCCAATCAATTTTTGGTACTTTGAGTGTTCCGAAAGAAAAAACTACATACAAGTAATCCGACAGACAGATAGATCAATAGATGTAGATGCACGGACTAAACGAATTACATAATCCTATGCGAATGAAAAATATATGTATGTATAGTAACATTTTTACCTATTATTTATAACAATTATCAAGTTTATTATGTTACATTGGTTGTTAATGAACTAAAATGTGTACAAACAATGGTATATTAATTTTCATGTTGGTCATCTTGCTACATACCATAAATGTTTAATCGTGCGGCATGTTGTACTTTGCCTGCACGATTCTCAGCAATGCAAGCGTATTCACCGCCGTCCTCCACCATCACATGACTAATGTTGACATGACTAATAACATCACCGTGCACCGTTATATATTGACCGATCATAAATCTGTGAAAAAAATGATATAGAAAAGAAACGACGATCACAAATGAATTGACAGGCAGAACTGGGCAAATGCTTGATTAATTAATATATTTAAGCACATTTTTAAAATCATATATATTTTTTTTGCACAGTTTTCGAAAAAGCAACATATGTAGGAAAGATTAAGGATTATCTGATAGAAGACAATTTTGTTCACACGTTAACTGTGAATATCCTTTGACTTGTAATGAAACTGGAAATCCAATTTAGTTGAATGTACCTTTAATGCTTTTATACCTGCTAAAATTGAGACCAAGAAAAATTGTTCTGCAAACTCTAATTAATGTATCGGTCAATAAATCATGGAACTTTGAATGAAAAAATATTTTTTGTTGCCAAGATTCGATTTTATTCGTTCTACAACACTTTGATGCCCTCCTTATAAAAGGATTGACCAAGGCCCGAAGCATTCTTTTGCGAGATGTGGCCAGTTCTAAGGAAGACGATAGATGGGAGAGCAATTTTATTTACGCATATATATGCCGGCCAGAAGGCTTATTGATCGGTATATTACAATAGCTGAACGACTGAAATGATTTTATTAAGCAAAAGAAAAAAAAATCAAAATTTCGAGCACACTTTCGAATACTTGAAATTATACTTTTAAACGATTTCCGAAATATAATTTCTGATATATTAAAAGTAAACATATCGGTGCTTCGTTGTTTTTTTGTAGACAGGAGCTCCTCCTCCGTTTTGATGGTGTAAAAGGTATTTAAAATCTCCATAAAGGATAAATGCAATACCGAGTTTCGTTCTAAGTTTACAATGTCATACATATATCCCGACCGCATTGAAAAATTTTTCATGAAAAATTCAGGCCCTGAGAAAGACTGTGGTTGCTAATTTTTAAACTGGTATAGGCTCGAACTGAATCGTTCGCAGTATTTGTACAGTTTATGGTAACACATTTGATCATTTTGTAATGTTGCGACCATTCGTAGTAGGTGATCACAAAAGGAGTTTTTAATAAAGTACATCGTGACAAAATGATTGCCATTTTAAGATTCTTTGAAAGCAATTTGACAGCGAAAGTTCGAACTCTAAACGGAATGATTATGTCTTTTTAGATTTAATTAACACACCGCTTGCAAGTGACGAGAAAGAAAGACTTATGGAGTCACACTCATTAAAAAAAAGATTAGTAAGTAAATGGACAGGAGAGCTGCGTCCATAATTATGCAGAAGAAAACGATTTTCATATTTACTATGACAATGTAGGAAATGCATCTGAAATTTCTCTTACGAAGTAAGTGGAAGAAGATAAAAGGCAAAATCTTACTCTTCATTTCATTATATAATACTACTGAGGCAAATGTTTAATTTTCGTCAAAATGCGAGATTTTACTTTAAGCAGTTTTTCCAAAACTTTCATACAACATCGAAATTATAGCGCGGAAAAACGATATTTACGAACACCCTAGGAGAATGGGAATATAATGAAAACATATCTTCGTTAGATATTAGAAAATTCATTTATAATAAACGAAAAATTGTATTCTTTGCTCTTCCAATTCTTAAAATATAACGATACATATTCTGTGGGTGACCCAAAAATAGATGCAAAGCAATAACAAGTAAGAAAATTATATTCGGTCGTCAACGAATTTCTTATATACTCTACCTTTTACCCAAAAAAAAAGAGAAGAAGACGAGAAAAGAATTATATTTTCATGCTCCATAATATGCAGTGGGGGCGGCTGATTTTTTCAATACATTGTGGGCGTGGCCTATGAAAAGTTTAGATCCCTCACAATTTGTAGGCGATATGTTCATTTACGTTAACGAGAAAATGTTTACCACAAATACTACAAAATTACGCAAACAGACAGACGTACAGACGAACATGCGAACTTGTTTAGCTGCATTCAAGGCTTGTAACTGGCCAAGAATTTATGTATTTTATGGATTTTTTGAAGCGTGCTTGTGCTTATTATAAAGGAATTGAAGAAATAATTAAATTTCATTACATTATAATATTGGGTAGGCGTGGTCAATTTTTTTCATTTTTGTACACAAATGGCTAAGGCATCGCCCACAGAATATGAGTTCAAATTTTTCTACATTTATCTGCTACAGTTTATGAGTAATAAACAAAAAACCAATTTTTCATTTCCTTCGAAAAACAGCGGTGTTCTCAGTTTAGATGGTATTAAGGGTGTGCCCTTCAACAGATTTGGCCCATTTTCAATATGAACCTGCGTGCAAGAACTTCCAATGCTTCTGCCCAATTTGAAATTGATAGCTTCAATTTTGCGCGCCAGGTGAATATTTACAACAGACATTATACAGAGAGACGGAGATGCTTAAATTGATTCAGAGTTTAATGCAGATCAAGAATATATATACTTTGTGGGGTGTCTGAGAGTTCCTCTTGGGCATTACAGAGGTTTTGACGAAATGAGCATACCGCTCATCTTTTGGTGATGGGTATAAAAATAATCGATCGTGTTCATCGACTGTTATGGAGCACTGAAATTTTATTTTTTTCTCGTTTTTTTTTTTTTTTTAAGAGAGAATGGTATAGAAATTTCGCCGACAGGCAAAAATAATCATAGATAACGTGCCTTGTGGAATACCTTTCGAATTGTGTCGATAGTTGAGTAAAATATAATAAACTTGTGTATATATATATATATATATATATATATATATATCCTTCGTATTGTTCCGTGTCTTTGTGTATTAAATATGTACATATCGTTTCGACAATGTAATCTTTTTTTCGATTAGGTAAAAATTCCTTCACACGACCATAGAAAATTTTAACTGAAATTAATTGGCGTATCTGACAAACTTAAATGCGAATTGATATAACGATGAAACGAAAACAAATTACCTTTGATACTTAATCGTCTTTAGTTTCATATGCATACAAGTATACCACAGTGTATACTCATTTAAAAATAAGGAAAAGTATACGCTCTTGATTCGTAAACATTTCATAGAGTGTGATATTACATTAGGACACCTTTAACACAATTTTTGCTGGTATAAGCAGGGGATGAAAAAATTAAGTTGTGTACATCTGACAAATGCACAATAATCAATTATATTAATATATTATAATCACAGGTGTTGGATCAACGTTTGCTTGTAGAACAGGCTACAATTCTTGGGGTTGAGTGCCCGCCCAATGGAATGTTCATTCCAAAACATTCGCAATTTATTTCAATGATGCTTTAGATGGTAATCTGCTCCTCACTATTTCCTCTAAAATTTCCCATAGCCTGGGAAGATATTTGATAATATTCTTAACGCTCCTCAAATCAAAAATTCATCTTTTTTAGCTCTATTATCATCCTGGAATACTTTAATGTTTACTTGCCAAGCGAGAACTTTATCGCTGAGGACGCCGAATGATTGAGTGGTGATGCGAATAGGTAACCCAACTGAATACCACGATACAGTCTCCCAAATTACAATGGAAACTTCATGTTCCGTGCGTTTGATTGTAGTAAGCAAGAAGTTCGAAACGTATGCTTGTTTTGGAGTTCTAGTTAGAGAAATTCGATCGTGTTGAGGAAATAATGTGAACGATGATTCATTGGACCACATCAAATTCTTTCAGTCAAGTGACATCAACATTTTCCCATACCGCAACTTAATATACAAACAGAGAACCACACAAGAGATGAGATTAAAACAGCGGGAAACCAACTCGAAAAAATGTCAATATAAACGAGAATGCAGTGAGCAATGAATGCATATTGACATATGAATTCTCGTTCCTTCATTGTTAGCCAATGAAATCTCTGTGTGCCTAGTGTATTGTTACGCCATTGATTTTTGGTTTACTTTTGTGACTCTTTACTTTTCCTATGTTAGGCTCATATTGTCATTGCTCATGTAATCTATGTGCGAAAGTTCACAATTCTTTTTTTGTTCTTTTTTTTAGTAACAATTAATCCTTTGAATACAGATATTACTTAACTGTGTTCATAGTTGAATTTGATTATAGCAGCTAAGGCGCTTAATTACACTAACTCATTGTATGTTTCATTGCGGTATTTCGAGAAAAAAATCCTTATTTCTATTTTTATCTTTTGCATCGTTTCATTTATCTTTCCCCATAGAATCTCATTTGCTGGTGCAATAATAGCATATATTTAGAACCATGTTTGAATTTGTTCTATTTGTTGCTTATAAAGTTCACGAGTGCTTTTTTAATTTATAATTATATGTTGCCTAAAGGTATTTCCTTTGATTCGTTCTTATTATTACGAATTAATTATTCTTTCGTCAATATATGTATGTATCTTTTTGTTTTTGTTTATAATGCATAGAAATGTATGTCGTTAGCTTTAACAAACTGTACAAGTTCTTATCTATTTCTTCTATCTAAAGGCCCATTGAAATCATAAAGAAGGAAAAAATATATAAAAAAGAAAAAAAAATTTCTTTTCACCGTCGCCAAGTTAGGTTCAAAGTATTTCTTAAAATGGTCTACGGGTTTGAATTAAATCAATCAAAACAGCCAATAAGCTTTCAATTTGTTTACAGCATTCAACTTAATGTTTCATTACTTCTTACTCCAATGCGCCAAATCCGGCTTAGAGATCAGTTAAATAGGTTCAAAAATATTTCTACGATTCAAGCAACAATCGCATTGTATCCATATATCGTTTTCATAATCAAAAAGTAGCTTAAGTCATCTATACAAGGAACGACATTCCAAATACATTACGCGACATTAAGGACTAGTTTTCCTGTTTTTGGAAAAATGATACTCATATGTATTTTATATATTATTATAATTATTAATAAATTTTGATAAAAAATATAGATTATTAATGCGTAAACGGTACAATATATAATTTATTGAAAATTTGTTGTCTTTTGTCTGACACCCAATTGGAAATTTAGATATGCGGTAGTTATTTGTTATTAGCGAAAATACCAGTAGTAGCAGTAGTAGTAGTAGTAGTAGCAGTAGTAGTAGTACAAGTATCAATAGTAGTATT